CTCAATGAACCACACGTTGTTGGGATCATCTGCTTCGTTTTCATCATCCTCAACTTCCTCTGTCTGAATGAAGGTCTCCTCAGACATGTTGGCATTCTGGTACATCATCAGGTCCAGGATGAAGTGTCCCCTTTCGTTTCTCTCTGGTCGAAACCATTCAGACTCTCCGATCTTCATGAGTCCTTTCTTGTAATCATGAACGACTCCCCACTCCTCCAAAGTGGGTCTGGCAAGAAAGAAGGGTGTTGCACCAGGAACCACGGAAGCGGTCACCGGAAGACAGTGTCCGTGAACAACTGCAGTAAAGGTCACCTCGTACTGGGACTGCAAAACTTCACCGCCTCCGAACTTGAACTGGCGAACAATGGCACGAGATGCGACTGGCTGTGTTTGTTCGCTTCCATAGTGTTCCAACCAGCGATGCCAGTTCTCCTCACCAACAATCGTTCGAGTGGCTCCACTGTCAACAATCACCTTCCCCTTTTCCATGACCGCGAAGAAACAATGTTCATCCAACTTCAACTCTTCTTCATGGCCAATCTCCTCAATGTCTTCGACCATCGTCACTTCTTTTGGCACTTCTTTCACACCTTGACCTTGGCTTCTATACCTCTTGAACCGAGGTCCATGCTGAGCCGTGGATCCAGTCAATGTAGACCTCTCTGAGCCGCCGGTAGTGCTGGTAGATGACATAGGGCTCTTTCGCAAACCTGACATCGGTCTTCTGTTGAAAGGGGTTCGCCTCATGAAGTTTCCTCCACCTTTGCTCTTTCCTTTTCCTTTCCCCTTTCCAAAACCAGACTTGCCTTTGCCCTTGCCACTCTTTCCTTCTCCTTTGGGACTTCTCTGACTTCCCTTCTCAAAGTCGGGACCCAAAGCAACCACCGGATAGAATCCTCTCGACAAGGCCAGTTCCTTCATCCTCTTGCGGCTCTCGATGTAGGACACGTAAGCCTCGTCTGTCAACTCCATTGCTTCTTCAAGCTCCTCAGGAATCTCGTCATCCTCAATCTCTCCATACTTGAAGGCTTCGTCGTCATACCACTCTTCAGCGGCATAGCCTTCTTCAAACTACTCATACCACTCTGAATCATCTTCTTCGTAGAGGACGTCATCCTTGTTGTTGGCCTGCTGGACACGTCCAAGATCACGAGCATTGGGCTTGTGATCTCCTCCAAACATTCTGACCAATGCTTTGGCCACCTTCTCATACTCAAGGTCGCCAGCACACATGGACTTGATCTGAACGTGCGTCCATCTTGGAACTCCAGCTCTTGTCAACAAATGCCACCCCGACAACAACGGTGGGATGTCCACACTTACTCATGCGCTTGAGGAGGTTGCGATGGCGAATGATGTACGCCTGCATTTCTTCTCCCTTCAGGCGGTAGAACTCAGAGAAGAACTCATCGCAACGGGAGGGCACTTCAATCAAATCCTCATACTGGTACAACTCGTCCAGCAGCTTGAACAGCAACTTGAAAGGATCTGAGGCTCTCTCGACTTCATCGAAGCTGAGGTGCTCTGTTGCATCCCATGCGACATCTTTCAAGCGGCTTATGATGAGGAACGTTCCCTCGACAGCAACTTCACGTCCTCGTCTGCTGCATTGCCTCTCTGAAACAACTCCAATCTGCGCCTGAAACTTCTATAGCTCTTCTGGTTCAGGTTGTCGGTGGACGGACATGCTTTGGCTAGGCCTGAATCAAGTCCCTTGCTCTGCGAAGCCGAAGAAAAGGGAATACCTGGAAGCAGAAGGCCAGGATCATCACTCTCGACATTCGCAAACAGTCCTCCTCCTGTAGCACTAGCAGCTGCGGGATTCGCAGGTGCCGAGGTCCGCGCTCGTCGGACTGGTGTCCTTCGTGGACTTCTCTCCATTCCGGACATGGGAGCTTATCCTCAACCGTCCAAAGGAAAACAAAGGTCTCCTCAATCAAAAAGATCACCGAAGAAAGCGTCAACCTGGAACGTATTGGGCTCCGCTACCAATCTGATTGAACAGGATCTCGCACACAAAGTCGAACCTGCCTTTTCTACACAAGTCGAACGAGTAGGGTCGTGACCACGGTGACTCAAGGGCCCTAAATGGCCGCAATCGAACATACAAACGTTCAAACCTTCAGCAAAAGTACCTTCAAGTACATGCTGTGAAAACTGCATTGAGAATACCTGGATCTTCCAAGTCCGGTGGTTTTTTGGACACCCCCTCCAAGAAGAGGCTATAGACACCTCTTGGAGGGTCCTGGGAGTACAGTCAACTATTTTAAAAATTTGACGAAAGGTGATCCCCCAAAAGAGCTTGCTTTACTTCAGTGGGGCAAAATATCGTCTTTCACTAGACTTCTATCGGGGTGTTGGTTCCTTCTGAATGAGGCTTTCGTCGAACTGGAACCTCGACGAACGGAGACCTTAGGAACATCTCAAGCTGGTTAGCAACTCCTGAAGCCCTTTGGAAGTGGATTGCCACGGCCCTCGGTTTGCCAGCAACACCTCGGTTCCCACAGAGTCCAATCGGTCACCCTCAAGCGACGGTGGCCTGCAGTCACAGCACGACCAATGTTTCTGGATGAAACTGATACCATCGGTCTCGTGCAACGTCGTAGCTGGCACCCACCCCCTCTATTCTTCCATTTTCTACGGACCATCACTGCCCTTCAGTGGGGGATGCTGTGGCATCCATGCTTTCCACACACGAGGAGAACTTTGGAGAAACTCTCGTTCCTCTTACAGTAAAACTCCAGAAACGCCAAAAGCCCCAGGGATGGACGGGATGGACGGCTTTCAAAGCTCCGGCTTTCAAAGCATCCCGGACTGCTTCGGTCTCTGTTTGAGCCAGTTTCTGCTGTTTGAGCCTGGTAGTGAGGAATGGTCGAAATTGCTCACCTGTGCGGGTTTTGGAGAGGTTTGTTTTCCAATTCCCGGCATTTGTTTCGAAAGGCAGCCCCTTCTTGTGGGTTCTTTGATGCAATTACCTCTACGGCCATCCCTCTATGACCCTGATGCTGCCTAAAGGCAGCGAAGTCTTTGAAAGGAAGTCGGGAAGCAGAATACTTTAAGTGCGTGATACTTCTTCTCCAGCAGGTATCGACCTTGATCCAACCACGGTGCATCATCTTGTGACAACAGCATAGGGTTGCTTATGACGATGAGATTTGGTTTCTACTTTCAATCAGTTTTTGTTTTGTGGCGCCCAGAGAGCAGACAAAGGATGCTACCGAGAGAGCAAGGTTGAGGATATGCCGTGCGAGAATCCACGCCAGTTGCTTGACGACTTTCCCAACCTCGCCCATTTCAGGGCGAAAGATGCGTGCTCCAGTAGTTCGCCCAAGTAGCATGATTTGGGGTCTAACCAGGGGCCCCACAAACCTTGTTTTCCTGAAGTTCATGCTTTATATGCGAAAACGCTCCATGGGACTGCCATATATGCCTACATTGACCCCCGAAACTATCCCAATGTACCTACAGAGGTTAAGTGACCTGAACCCGTCACCAGGGGTACCTATATAGGATATATAGTCTAGTTCGGGTTCTTCAACCTCTGCTGGCATGGCACATATACCAGACATGGAGCGTCTGAGATATCTGAACACCTTTTCATGGGAGTTCGGAGGGACGCTGGTAGGTAGGTCCTCGTCAGTCGGTCTCTGGAGAACTTGGGTGAAGTCGCCTTCCAACCAATCTGGCAGGGAGAATCAGGTGTGAAAATATCGAGCGAGAGGGTCCGAGGGGTATTTTCGTCATGTTCTGCGGTTCTGCATGGATTCTGCAAAGGAACATCTTCAGGGAGTTGGTGCATGAAGCCAAGCTTGTCGCGTTCGAGACCTGTTCTCAATTCCAAACCTTTCTGAATTTTGCCACGACCCTCCACCACACTTGGACAAAACGAGGCCTCCAACTCCAAGTAAATCCTTCTGGGCTACGAAGGTCACTCCTGGGGCAGCGCAGCGCCGCAGTGGTTGCGCCGCTCTCTCCCTCGCGCATGGACGCGAGGCGTGAGGAGGAGCGGTGCAGCTCCAGGGCACCTGCCGACCGAACGTGGTGGCGGGGACCCGAGCTCGTGCGGAAACGCTCGCAGGTGAGGGTGCAAAAAGGGCTGGCGCACGAGGGAGGGAGAAGGATCTGGTCGATGGTGAGAGTGACCTAAGAGGTATTTGTCTTCCAAACTGCTGAGGACGTGGAGAAGGTTCTCCAGTGTGGAGGGTGGAGCCCTTGGAGCCCTTGGAACCTTTGGAACCTTTGGAAGTTGCCTCCAAGAACCTCCGTCTTTTCGCCTGGCAGGGCAGGAGTTCCAACTTCCTCGCCCTCCCCAGGCTGCCCTGCCCGGCTGCAGACGACTTCCTCGGGCCAAACAGGTCGGTCGCCCAGGGGGTCCGGCGCGCCGCGCACCGCGCCCGACCAGGATGCCTCACGGCGCACCGCGTGAGGAGACGAAAACCAGTGGAGAGTCGAAGAAGTGATGCGTGTCCTGTGGACCCGCGTGACCTGTGGACCCCGAGTTGAGAGGTACGAAGTCCTGGCAGTTTTCAGGATACCACTCTCAAGAAGTCGTGAAGCACGGACCTTTGGATGTTTTTTCCATCCACTCCGTCGTTCGGCAATCATCCAAAACAGAAAGACACCCGGACGTGAAGTCTTCAGTCTTCCAACGTCGGTAGAACTCTGACATCACATCACATCACCAACACCGTATTGCTCCATATGTTGAACCACTGAGCAGAAGACCTCACAGACCCCACTGACCCTTGCGAACGAAGACATCCAGTTCTTGAAGAAAAAGATCCAATGCTCAGAAGACCAGCTGCGGAGCAGTTCTTCATTCTCAGAACACACCAGCAGAGGTTGAAGAACCCTATAGACTATCCTATAGGTACCCCTGGTGACGGGTCCTAGTTCAGGTCACTTAACCTCTGCAGGCATGCCGGGCGAGCTTCCGAACTTGCTGTGTCCATTGATGCAGGCTCTTCCAGCCAGGTGCTGTTCCAGGTGATAGCCCCTAGAAGTCCAGTTCGACGATATTTTGACCGACTGAAGGTTTCAGGAAATTCCTGGACTCGGGTCACCTAGTCAGATCATTCTTTTTATAGTCTTTGACTTCCAGGGTAGCTTTTTGGCTCTAAGAACAAAGGTTCGCAGACTTTGGACGTTCGTGAAATCTTGGCCGGTTGACATCGGCATCGATGCTACTTCCTGCCTTCCTTCCCTTCCTTCTTGCTATGCTTGCTACGCTTGCTTCGGCGAGCCGCATCAGCACGGTGCAGTTTGAGAACGAGACCTTAGCAGGCTATGGCAAGCCATGCGATTGCTACGACAAGATTGGTGACCAGTGGAAAGAGAACAAGTGCTGTGGCACGGGTTTCTTGCTTTTTGTTCATGTGGCATTTTGGATAGACGAAGCAATATGCAAGATAAATCCATACGCACAATATCCTACAAAAAATCATCAAACATCGGCAAAGCACACCCACTTTCAAGAACCGTGGATCTGTTTTTCATAGCATCCCACATGTACAAAGTACACTACCTCATTCGGCGGGACATTTCACAGTACCGGGCTGGCCAGGTTTGATTTGCAGCCCCACGAGCAAGACCTGCAAAGTGGCCATTGGAACTCCCTGCGAAAGGACCAATGGACGATCCGTCTGTGCTGGAATGGGCACTTATGGACGTGAGACCCACTGCAGCTCCAAACAACGCGACCGAAATAAGCTCACAGATCCTGACATGGATGAAGGATACTTGAATGGGCAAACATTCTGTTGCTCGTTTTTTCTTCGCAAGATTTTGTCCTTCCCTAATTTGGGGATGACAGCCGTACTTGACAACCCCTGGACGACGATGACGACTCGCTGTTTCCTTTCTTGACTCCCGATGTCCGTTCTCCATTCTCCGCATCTATTCGTTTTCATTCGACGTGATACTGTATTGATGGATTCGGCCAGGTTGCATCAAAGCCCGATCCATCTTTCAAAGCCAAAAGTACTCCACAGACCGCGCGCCGTTGCATCACGGCAACCGTGATTGTGGAGGCTACGGGGAATGCTGCGGTGGCCACGCCGTGGTGGATGGCGACAACTCATACGGTGGAGCCTATTGCCGATGCGACTGATGGATCTGGCAAACAGCGCTGACTGAGGATTGCGACTGATGTTTGGGAGAAAAAAGGGGACTTGACACATGTTTTTGAAGCATGTTCACCACTCATGAAACCACAAACAAACACACCATGTGAATTGGTGAGTCCAAACCGACGGCTTTTGCTTCGTCCTGATGCTGTTACAGCCGCTTTTTTCTTGGTGAAGTCCTTCGGTGCCAGTGGTGCCTGGTCGACTACCGTGTCACGTGCTTCGGTGTCGTCGTCTGGGTGTCCGTCTCGGTCCCCAAACGCGCTCGGTCCCCAAAAGCGCTCGGTACAAAAGCGCTGGATGTGCGAAGTAGGGTCTGTCCTACTTAGCTGTGCTCCGTGAAAACAGCTCGACTGGTCCCGAAGCCAAACCCTAGGGATTGGTGAGAAGGTCCGGACCCCTACTTAGCAGGGTCCGGACCCCTACTTAGGAGGGTCCATGAGCGTCTGTGTAGTAAACTTGTAAAAGTCGTGATCATACAGCCAATCACTATTTTAGAGATGAAGTCTGCCAACCTACGGTACGGGCTATCATCATACACACGGATGGCCCCGAACATGGAAGTTTCAGGAAAAGACGATTTCCCTAAATGTCCCTACTGGCCAGACGTTTCCTACTGGGCATTCTGGGGGTTGTGGCAGGCAAGTTCTGGAGGAACTTCAGGGCCGACTTGCTTCCATGATATAGAATCCATCCAACCAGCTACTGCCCCAACTTCCATGTTAGTGTAGATTTAGAGGGTTCCCTCAGGGTGTCTCACTAACATGACCTCTACGAATGAATGACCCCCTGCCCAACCCCCAGCTCGTTTTTGGAGATGCAGCTTCCTACCTTGGCATGTACCGGGCGCCGTAGCTTCCTTCGTAGACGAACGAGGGCCACGACGAACGGGCCCCGCGGCCCGTCACGCCCATCGTGTGGGGTCGACTGTCATGTCACAGCTCGAGCTGTGTTGGGGTTGTGGGGCCGAACGTTGGATGTCAAGAGCTTCTTTCCCCAAACAGTTTACTGGTCTAAACGAATCGTTTTGAAGCTGTTTGGGGTCTATGCTTAGCATAACTTTTATCTCCCAGAGATCTGCAGATATCTGGGTCTATGCTGGTGCCAATCTTCGATCCTGGTTTTCCTCGGCTCTTTTCGATCAAGCACTCCTCGTCACGGCATCGGCATGGCCGGCACCCACCAGGTCGACCGACCCCAAAGGGCCCCCCAGGGCCCTCAGGCGTTCCGTGGAACGGATCCACTGGGCGTTGCGAGTAGGTCGAACGTGTCTGCCTTTCGAGTCAAACTGCCGAAAACGTTTCGGCAGGTTTCGGCAGGTTTCGCTCGCAGTTTCGGCTCCGGGTAGTCAAACTGAAAGAACCTGCCTTCGTTTTCTCAGCTCCTTCAAGATGGACTGGTTCCTGGCTATGTCCATGATCGCGTCTGGACTTGTTTTGCTGAGTTGTGTGGTTGTCCATATCTTCTTCTGTCGGACGTGGCTGCTGAGAATTTGCGACGATTGGCAGAAGCCGTCATACACTCTTGGTACTGGTCCAATGACTCTCTGCGATGAATCCGCAGAGGATTCAGAGCGAGAGCAGCAGGCAGCTACTTGAGAAAGATATGGTTGCTGCAAGTCTTGCAAGTATTTGTTTCCACTCTCATATTGATCAATGGTGTTGGTTTCAGAGGCACATGTTGGTTTCACTCAATACTGTAGTCGTACTTTTCAAGAAAGGTCTGACCCCATGTGACCGAAGCGTTGGTTCGACCTGATGGTGAGCCCTGCAGGTGAGAGGAGAGCAAGAGGAACACTTCTTAGATCTGATCAGAGTGCGACTCAGATTGGAAGCACGCCTCATGGTGTTGGTTCCTGTATTGCCCTTGCTTGCAGCACCTTGGACGTGGACGTGCAGGAGAGGAATGCCGACCTGGGCTTATGCCCTCTACTTGCCTTTCCTCTTGAGGGCCAAATCTTGGAATCTTGTACAAGGAACACCTGGATCTTCCAGCGACATGCAACATTTTCTGCCGAACCTGGCAGGTTTTATGGATTAAAGGATAGAACGTTTGCATGTTGAACGATCGATCGGTCTGGGTTTGTCCTTTCCTTTGGCAAGACACTGGTGCCAACAGGGCAGCTGTTCAACTGTTGAACAAGTGGTTATCAACAAACACCTGAGGGTAAACATGGTGAACCCCATTACCATGTCAACAAACATGGTTTTCGTATGTGAAAACCTTTATTTTTTCATGGGTTTGGGCTACTGGTATTTCTGACTACCCAGACGCGACCCTGGACCCTCCGTTCAGTAGGGGTCCGGACCCGAACCAATCCCTAGGGTTTTGAGGGACCAGTCGAGCTGTTTGGAGCGTCTGACTAAGGAGGCTTTGATGCTTGAGAGCCTTCAATCTTCCGAATTAATCTGGACGCTTGAGTTCTGGCTGTGGGGCCCTTTGGAACATTTAGAGCCTCGGCCAACCAGAGGCAACGGCCAGGCGCCTTTTTCCAAGATGGTTGGGGTGGGTTTGGGGGCTCTAACCACCTTCTGAGAATATGGTTGGAGCCCTAGGGTTTGTTTCCATCGTGGCCCCATGACGTTGGCAGCCATGACATTGGCGTCCCATCCAGGACCTCTTGACGGATGCTGCGATGCCGTGGCAGGCCGCCGCTTGCAACCCGGCGGCCACGGACCGCTTCGTGGCCGTGTTCGGCAGCTCCGGCGTCTTGGAGGACTTCCCGGCGCTCGCGGACTGGCTGGGCCTGTCGGGGCTCATGGCTTTGATGCTTCTCTTCGCCGTCGCCGCGCAGCAGTGGTACTTCAGCTGGCTGGACTTCGCCGCGCGCGCGGCCGACGGCGAGGCCGGCGCCGCCGTGGCGGCCGCCGTGGCGGGGCTCCAGGGCGTGGCCGAGCACTTCGAGGGCCGCTGGACGGTGGCAAGGCAAAGGCTCGGGCGCATCCAGACGTGGCGCGAGCAAGACTGGCCGCTGCGCCGCCAGGCCAAGACGATGGTCGCTCTGATTAAGGTCGCGGCCCAGAATCTGCCACAGCTGTTCTTGCAATCCGCCTTCCTCAGCCTTGCGTTTACCGAGTTAGGCAGCTGGGGCCGATGGAAGGTGTTGCTGTCGATGGGTTTGGGGGTGGTCAACGCGGTCCACAAGTTGTGTCAGATGACCAGTGAAATGATCTTGTTGATGTGGCGACGTAGGGAGGAACGACACTGGCTGAACCTCGCCCTCCTTGTGCTGCTGATGGAAGGATTCGCGCTGGTGGCCCAGGCGGTGAATCGCATCGTGATGGCTCACCTGTGCCCCAGCCACCAGTGGAACCTGGCGACTGGGTGCGTCCATCAGTGATTTGTTGGAAGAAAAAGGCCGGCGCCAAGTAAGTAGAGCGATGCAGGCATTGGTTGAGGCTGTGAAACATGGAAAAAACATACATGAAACAAAGCCAGGCGCGGGTCAGTGGCTCACTCGGTCAACCGTCAGCCTGTGCAACTGACCTTCGGGCAGCTTGGGACACATACCAATCGAAGCTCCAAACGACGCCCCGAAAGCTGCCGAGCTTCGGAGGATCCTGTCATACCTTCTACTCAAAGGTTTTCGGCCCTCCAAAGCTATATGTAGAAGTGTACCCCTCCTGGAAGCATATGAAGTGGTGCTGCGACAAAAATCATTCACCTTCTGCTGAAGGCCCTTCCAGTCAATCCCAGCAGAACAGTGTCCTGGTTTTTGTGTGGCAACTGTACTAGCGGTGAGTAGCAATGGTAGTGAGTTGTCCTGCGCTTGAGAACCTCCGAATTCCTCTCAGGTGTCGTGCGGGGCCCTTGATTACCAACCCCACCACGCTGGGGCCAAACCCACTCATCCACTGATCAAAGCCACGCCGTCGGGACCGAAAAAGATCGCGATCCACCAGGTCCACCAGCGGTCGCTGGGAAAGGTCTGCACCTGTCGCGAAGGCGTGAGGTGAGATGGATGGCCGTGCCCTGGGAGCCTGGTCGCGTGGATTGGTGTGGGGAATCACGGAGTCGTACTTGGGGGGTCTGGTGGAGTGGGCCCAGAAGTTCGGTGGATCCTCTGTGTTCGTGTTTTGAGAAGGGGCCAAAACCGTTTTTCAAGGCCCGAGTTGGAGGGTCTAGGGTCTCACATGTCATGGTCTCTTTTTCGGATCCTTCACTGTTGCACCCAGAGAATTCAATAGAAAGAGCTTCCACGTGTGGTATGAGTCTGGACTCTGTTTTCTTCGAATCTGCTGTGCTCATTTGTGCTTCGACCGTACCCGGCAACATGAGCCACGTCAACTCCTGAGAAGGTCAGGTCTGACCCCGACTGGCGGTCTGACCCAGGTAGATGAGCTGTTGAACATGGCCAACTCCAGTATTTCATGAGAAAAAACCGGAACTCCCCCAACCCGTCTGAGCGCAGCGATCCCAAATTTCGGGCACCTGCTTGGAGGTCCAGAGGTCCATAACGAAAATAAGGGGATCCGCTTCCGGCTTCATCCCTTCCATCCCAACATGACCTGTAAGGACCTGTAAGGGGGGTTCCAAGAATATATTTGACGACGACGATATTACTTTGTGTCATGCGGTTTTTCTTTACATATTATAGACATCGTAATTATAGTCATATTGATGACATATTATAGTCCTAGTCATACTGATAGTATTGTCATATTATATAGACATAATTTGCATCTTATCACGACGATCTTTTGAGGCGTCTCCGGATCCGCATCTTCGGATCTCCGTTCCCGGTCACCGTCGCGCTCGGCCCCCTGGCGAGTCGACGCAGGCAGCGGTCGGCGCCCGGCCTGCGAACAAAACGGGAAGGTGCCGAGCAGAGTTCGAAGGGAGGCCCTGAACGGAAGGGCAGAGGCCCAACAGAGGAAGGTCCCAAGAAGGGTCCTCCCCAAGGAGTTCAGTTCAGAATTCGTCTGCAATGGATGGAAGGGGCACAGCTGTCACTATGCGTGGTGACGCCGCCACAGTATATAACGAAAGGAAATGCAACCTGAGGCGAGCAACATATCGCACATACAGATAAGTAGGCGAGCAAGGTTTGGCAGTAGCACATACAGATCAGAAATCCAATGGCGATCAGACGCCATCAGCGCAGCAGGTCAATGGTGATATGTGTATTTTGGATATCACGCCCGAGACGACAGGCAGAGAGCTCAAACAACAGATCAAAAAAGGGCAGCCCTGGGACAAGGTCACTTGCAGCACTACTGTGGTGGAGGTTGTTGTTGGAGACCAGCTGCTGGGCAATGATGAACAAGTGGCAGACGTGGGGCTGATTGATGCGGACCCTGTGATCGTCGTCTTCAAAGAAAACAGAGTGAGATGCTCCCACAAGGGTGAGATCGCCGACTTGGGGAGCGAGATTGACTCAGAACTCTTACTCGTTGCTGAAATCCCATGCCACGGAACTCAAATCTCAGCCAGGGCCTTTGAACAATGAACGCAGTTGGCCAAAGTGACCATCGCAGACTCAGTGACCCACATCGGGAACTCTTTGGTGAACTTGACCATCCCAAACTCAGTGACCCACATCGGGAATGGTGCCTTTGTGGGTTGCAGCTCTTTGGT